TTTTTTGCAGGTGAAATAATTGCTAAGAACCCTTAAGAATTTCATAAAGCTATGGAATCTGAGAAAAAGAAATTTATGCTGTTTGAAATAGTTTAGAAAGTGAGCTGGTTACAAAGTCAATATTTTTTCAATTATAATTTGTATGATTTAAAAAAAGTTTTAAGTTCCATTAAAGAAAAATATGGTATACATAAATGTTGAGATGCAGAAATTTTCACCACATGTTGCTCATTTGGAAGGAGGGAGACTACAAAGCAGTCCGTATGTCGTTAATATGTTTTATTAGGAAAACGTTTGGAAGGATATTCAGTGAAATACTAACATGATTTTCTCTAAAATTTGTCATTTCCGATAATTAATATAGTTTTATTTTACATATCCAAATTTTCTGCATATTTATATATTTGTGAAATATAAGGATGAAAGCTAGACTGTTACACAAATACAGCTTTCTCTGATACAAATTTTCCTTTAGTGTTCTATGGAACTTATATGAATTTTATCTTTGCTTGTGAGAAGCAAGATAAAATATATATAGTGAGTTTTTTTGTGTGATTAACTTAGCATACATGTTTCCGTGGTAATAACCCAAGACCTATATTGTACTTGCAACTGTATGTTAGAGTATCTTTCTGAAATATGTATACGATAGTAAGTAGTACAGCTCAGCACATAGTGATTTGTTAAATATTTCACAACTTCGTGCTTGACTGTGGATAAACATCACAGAAAGAGATTCCCCTACTTTACAGGAAATAGGTGCATTATCTGTATCAAATCCTCCTTCAAACTATTAGAAAAGGTTCTGTAAATCTTTCCCTTTTTTTGGAGAGAGAGTCTCGCTCTGTCGCCCAGTCTGGAGTACGGTGGCCCAATCTCAGCTTACCACAACCTCCACCTCCTGGGTTCAAGCCAATTCTCCTGCCTCAGCCTCCTGAGTAGCTGGGATTAGAGGCGTGTGCCACCACACCCGGATGATTTTTGTATTTTTAAAAGAGATGGGGTTTCACCATGTTGGCCAGGCTGGTCTCAAACTCCTGACCTCAGGTGATCTGCCGACCTCTGCCTCTCAAAGTGCTGGGATTACAGGCGTGAGCCATCACGCCCAGCCAAGTTTCCGTAAATCTTTGTTGATTTTGCAATACCCACCAAAGATATTTTATTTTATCCTCATGCAGACATTTAGATTCACAAGACAGGCCATACTTGGTCCCAGTCTCCTCAGAAGGATAAGGGACAAGAGAAACAGCAGGGTAGTGTTAGGTGTTGCCTCTTCCAAAGAAGTCTTTGCAGCCATCCAGGGGCTTCTTCGTCCTCTGAGTGATCACCCAGTTACAAAGAGGTAAGATTCTCAAAGGTGGGTGTGAGATTCACCTTGGCTCGAATTCCCATGCACCACAGTGCCAGTATCTCCTATAACCATCTCAGAGGCACAGCTTATTCTGGTCATGGCAACTAGAGCCACCACGATCAGGAAAGGGCAGAGAGAGATACTGCTTCCGCCTGATATCTGTAATTTGTTCATCGTCTTCCCAGCCTAGTGCAGTCTACCAGTCAGTGGTCATTTTTACCATAAGGAATGTTTCCTAATAACACAACTGATGATACTCCTTTACCAAATTTCTTTTTTATTAATTTTTAGAAATTATTTTTATTTTTCCTTTTTCTTTTTCTACCACTATAGTAATGAGGACCTTTATCAAATTTCTAGAGGAACCAAATTTCTAGAAAGTTAAGCCCAGGTCTGATTTTTCCTAACAAAGGAAAAAAGGATTTTTTTTAAACCCTTAACTTATAACTGGATTTAATTTTTAAAAAGTCAGTAATGGTTTCTATTTGCATTTCAACATTTTGGGGCTATTACTCACAATACCATTAGTAGCATACTAATTTGAAAGAAAATAATAATTTCTTTTATTCTCTATCTTCAGACAAAATTTGACAAACAGGGAAATGTTACGTCTTTTGGTGAGTATCTGATTAGTATTCTCAATCATTTTTTTAAACATTTAGTGAGTGAATCTGATGGAAATCAAGAAACTGTAGTTTTTGAGTAGAATATTCTTTGCATATGCAGGTGTGTTGAAAGAGGTCTTTCTTCGGCATTTGTCCATCAGTCTTAATTGGAGCCAGCAATACTCATACTGTGCATATTCTCCCAGAATTGTTTTCTTCTAGCAGGAGCCATGTTTCACTCTAACAGGCCGTTGAAGAAATATTTGGGAGAGCAGAGGCTCTCCCCTCTGGGGTAGAGCTGGAGCCCAGAGACAAACTCTTTTTCTCTTTTGTCTCTCTTGTTAGTGTCCCTTTCACTGCCGTCATTCATGCTCCTGAAGCATGTTTAAGGCGGAGTCACATAATATCAGTGACGTTGCATTGGGTGACAAAAGACGAACAGGGATAGGTCACTGCATGGCAGTCACATGGAACTCTGCTGCTGAGGGCTCTCTGTGGACAGCTACTTTAAAAAGTGAAAGTGGGTATTACTTTACTGTGTGACTTGAAATCCGAGTTTCAGATCTCCCCTGAGAATGAATCAGTCTCAGGTAATAAATTCAGTTTTTCCCATTTTTATATTAGTCCAAGAACAAAGAAAATCAGGCTTATCTGTTCACATATATAAAAATACTGAAGGTGATGTTCTAGTGAGAAAAAACTAGAACATGTTTTAGTTGTTCTAGATGTTCTAGTGTGTAGTTGTGTACAGTTTATAGAACGATAACCTGTCTCTAGAACTGGAAATGTATAGGTTCTAATGATGCATAGTTGTGGTTTCTATATTGGTCTCAGAGGAGTGAGAAATTTATGAGGTATAGATAAGAAAATCATTAGATCGACTATATTTAGCCCAATTATGTTTTCTAGGTAAAAATGGATATTATAAAGATTTAATTTTACTTTTTATTTCTGGTAGTAACCAATAATTATGTTGATGGTGGTGGGAGGACTGCTCTGACGGAAAAATATGAGCCACTTAATATATTGGTTTAGCCCTCTCTTTTTATTTCTTTTATAGAAAGGAAGAAAACTGAATTACACCAAGAGTTAGGTCTTCAAGCCAGAGATTTGAGATTTCAGCATGTAATGAGTATCACAACTAGAAACAACAGGATTATCATGAGAATGGAGGTAAAATATCTTACTTTCATCTGTGTTTCTCCAATACAGTCTTATAAAAGTTACCTTCTAATTTCCTTGATCAGTATTTGGATTAAAAGTAATTTTGGAATAAAAATAACTACATGAAACAGAATATTTTATAGCTTAATGTGGTATTATGAGTAGAGCTCATTTTACATGGATTATATATAACACTGCTGTGTTTTAAGTTGGAAAAGTTCTGACTGTGGTGTTCATTCTCACTGTTGGAATTTAGTCTCTAATTCTGGAAACTATAAGACGATCCTGATTTACAATAGATATATTTCCAATTGTGTGCAGTTACATGTAATTATAGTATAACCTCAGCTACCAAAAATGTATTCTGGCTTTCCAAATGGCACAGGAATAGACTTTAAATTTTATAGCCTTAATTTAAATTTTTTTAATGGAAAACTTGTGATCTCTCTACCTATTCAGAGCATGCCAAATATAATTTTACTTTCTTCAGTGAGTTAACATGGATATCAGTTAAGTTTGTGGCCTAATGTTTAGGTTCAAAAATAGGTGACGAGACACAAGACTCAATGGGATTGGCCCTGTAGTGGGCATGGGACTTTCTTTTCTTCAAAAAGTCTTTGATGGCAGATTTTTTTTCAGTTTTCTAGAATTAATCAAAATAACAAAAAATGGGCCAGTAGTGGTGGCATGTTCCTGTAGTCCCATCGACTCAGCAGGCTGAAGTGGGAGGGTTGCTTGAGACCAGGAGTTTGTGACCAGCCTGGGCAACCTAGCAAGATTCCATCTCAGTAAATAAATAATACTTTATCAAAAATGGAAGCAGTCTTCTCCCAAGTGATTTCCTCTAGAAATATTCTTTACTCTTGGGATCAGTAGCTAGGATTCTTCAGTGTCTCTTTTGTGGAGAGATACACAGGTATGTGAAACAGCAAATTTAGCAGAATGATAATTATATAATGTAACTGGTGGGTATGTGGTGTTCACTGAAATCTTTCAACTTTTCTGTGTAATAATTTGCATGAGGCCAGTGCATTGGCTCCCAGCACTTTGGGAGTCCGAGGCGGGTGGATCACCTGAGGTCAGGAGTTCAAGACCAGCCTGACCAACATGGTGAAACCCTGTCTCTACTAAAAAATAAAAAATTAGCCAGGCATGGTGGCAGGTGCCTGTAGTCCCAGCTACTGGGGAGGCTGAGGCAGGAGAATTGCTTGAACCCAGGTGACAGAGGTTGCAGTGAGCTGAGATCATGCCATTGCATTCCAGCCTGGGCGACAGAGCAAGACTTCATCTTAAAAAA